TATCTGAGTATAATACTACCCCCCAACTTTATGGATGATTTTATGGATTAAATTTTACGCATTATACTTGAACAAATACGTTATATAAATAGAAAATAAAAGTGGACCCAGAACTGAGCCTTGTGGTACTCCGTTTGTATTTGTTAGAAGAGATGAAGTGGAGCCAGAAAATTGAACTCTCTGGGTTCTATTTGACTAATAATCAGCTACCCACAGAGTAGCCTGGTAAAAACCAGACCCTGTCCTTCACTTTGCTTCATACGAGGGTCTGGACTCTCAGCTCTAGAGAAGTGATTCTTGCTGGAGGTGTGGCCTCTGCTGAAGTTTAAAATGATTGGATGAGTTGGCCATGACAAATGCATGCAGCCCCACTGTGAAGGAGGCTAAGCTAAGAAGCTAACTGGAAATCTCGTGTGCAGTAAACAACCCTACTGAGAGGAGAAATATACGGAGCTGAAGGAGACGACTGTAAATGAGAGCTGCTGTTTATCAGACACATTTGATTTAATCTGGAAGTCTTATCAACACAGACTGGCTTCATTCACTTCCTCCACTGCTGTATGCTAAAATAACTAGCAGACACTGAGCAGAACATSAATGTTCTGTTCTTTGATTGGCCCGAACAAAAATCTCCTGAAGAAATCCTTGTTTATGGCAGACGTCCCAGACGGAGCAGAGAAGGAAACTAGAAATGAGTGGAGCTGTAGGAAGACGAGGACCAGGCTATCCATAAAGTATCATGATGTGGAAACCCAGCTCTGTGCAACATTTTAATCAACAGCTCACTGTTCACTGAGTCAAATGCCTGTGAGGGATCAATAAACAGAGCAACACACTGCTTTCAGCTAGCAAGAGTCTGGATGAGGTCATTAAAAACCTTTAAAATGGCAGTAACTGTAACAGTTACAGTAACTGTTACAGTAACAGTACTGTTACAGTTACTGTTACTGTTACAGTAACAGTAACAGTAACAGTAACTGTAACAGTAACAGTAACAGTAACTGTAACAGTAACTGTAACAGTAACTGTAACTGTTACAGTTACTGTGTGTTACAGTTACAGTAACAGTAACTGTAACTGTAACAGTAACAGTAACAGTAACTGTAACAGTAACTGTAACAGTAACTGTAAC